CAGGTGATTTGCTAAAGGAGCTGCAGGTTGGCTATTTAGCCATTTGGAAAGTGTTCCTCTGCATGCTCCTGGTCCTGCAGAAATGGTTTATGGAGTATATCATAGGAACTGGGTGGCGCGACGGGTCAGTCGTGTGCTCTGCTGCCCAACGCCGGTTCAATTGTTGGGGTGCTGTCTGCGTGGAGTTTGCATGTTCTCTCCGGCTTCACTTGGGTGTCCTGTGGGTGCTCCTGTTTCTTTCCACAGTCCAAAGACATGCTGGTGGGTGAACTGGCTTCTGGGTAGATTGGCCCTGCTGTGTGTGTGTCTGTATCTGTGTGTGCCCTGTGATTGACTGGCGTCCCGTCAGGTGTGTACCCTGCATTGCGCCTGTTGCACAGGCTAAGCAAGGTTGTGTGGGTTCTAATGCCCCAGTATAGTGACGGGGACACTATACTGTAAAAAAAGAAAACTGGTCATCCTTCAGATGAGATGTAAAACTGAGGCCCTGACTCTGTGATCATTAAAAATCCCAGGGGGTTTCTCAAAAAGAGTAGGGGTGTTACGCCAGTGTCCTGGCCAAATTTCTCCCTGGCGTTTACCCATAATGTCCTCCTAATAATCCCCATCTCTGAACTGGCTTCATCACTCTGCTCTCCTCCCCACTGAGAGCTGGTGTGTGGGGAGAGTACTGGAGCATCATCCAGGTGGGGCTGCACACTGGTGGGGGTGGAGGGGATCCCCATTACCTGTGTAAGCGTGAGGAATTATTATTATTAGTAGTAGTAAAATGTTGATGGATTTTTAAGCAGACAGAGGTATGGTAAAGCATGGCAGACCATATTCTAATTCTGCTTTTTCCCTGGCACAGCACTTTAAACTTTTCAAGATTGTATAGTATCTCTCCGGCTTGAAACACCTGCAGCAGGTGTTTATCTGAATGACGCACTCAAAAGCCCAGACAAACTGCTTGTTCTTGGCCACGTTCAAAGGATTTCTGGGATCCTGTCTGAGGTAGCGAGGGCATGCACCAGCATTCAAAACGAAAAGAAGACTCGGTGGGTTCCAGTAAATGTTTATTTTCCTTCGTTTGTACCCACAAAAGGTGCTCGTCTCTTAGCGCTGAGCGCCGTGAAGGGACCGTGTTGAGGCAAACCGTA